ATGTCTCATGGCTTGCTTGCCATCTGCCCTGTGATAATGCAGCACAAAGGCCCACATCAGATACCAGAACTATGCTCTTGAACATCCCAGCCTCTAGAACTGTAAGAAATAAATCTTTATTCTTTAAAAATTACTCAGTTCCAGGTATTCTGTTATAGTAGCAGAAAATGAACTAGGAAAACTACCAACATAGGCCATCATATTATCTGAAAACAATCATTTATTTATTCAATAAATAACTGCATAGTACTTGTTATCTCTGTTATATAGCTTACACTGTATTATACTTTAGTCCTCTTTCTAAAATTATTTCCTTCTCTTATCTTATTATCTGATTGAAACTTCCTGGAAATATTAATCATATTGATTATGCCATAAACCTTGTCTTTTTTTAGCCTATAATGGAAATACTTCCAGTATGGCATCATTAAATATTATATTGGTTTTTAGTTATAAATAAATGATTTTATTGCATTTAAGTTTCTAATTCTAATAATTTTTAAAATAATAAATGGAAGAGTTTTGTCTAATGCTTTTTTTTTTTCATTTTTGGATGGTTTCTATTTCCATCTTTAACATGACAAAATGATACTTGAAATTAAGTTCCCAATGTTTACATCATATTTGATGGCTGAAACAAATTTGGAGTCTTGCACTCTCTCTTCCCTTCTTTTCCTCTTTTCCTTCACATGGAACTTTATTCTGCCACCAGGCTTCATCTGATATTTGCTTAATGCAAATTCCTGTCAGCATCTGGCCTAACATATCATTGACAAACAGCCTCTAATATTTCTTCATAATACTTTATTCTCTTGCTTTCTTTCTCTTTTTTTCCCCCAAAGAAAGGGTGGAATTGAGTGAATTTGTTGTCACTTATGTCTTGGCACAATTCCCCAAATTTATTTTATATTTATTTTGTTTTATTTTTAAATATTGCTATGGCATTACAATTATCACCAGATAATCAAAATAATTATTACTTAAGGCTAAAAATCATATATCTGTGTATCAATCTTTTAATATTTATGCACTTTCTCAATTTATTACAATTTAGAGCATTCTTTGGCTCTATTTCTCATTTTAACATCTTATTAAAATTTCAAAATTTCACACTTTCATTACTAAGAATTTTCTTTAATGGAAATACATTTCTGTTCCTAATATAATAAAATATAATTTACCATATGGAATATGTTAAGAAATGATCTTTTAAAAAATTATTTCATGAGTTATGATGCATGTCACGTAGATATGTGATAGGAAATTATAATGCACAAAATATGATATGTACTTTGTGTTACCTAAACATTCTGATCAACTTCTTATAGAACTTAGTCTTTAAAGCTAATTGGCATATGTAGCAATAAACATTCATAATTATGAACTGATTTCTTCAATGTGTAGTCAGATTGGGCCCAAGTTTCTCAGTTTATTTTGTATGTTCACTGCTGCTATAGCTCAAATTATTTCCTTTTTAGTAGATTCTGAATTCATTCTGATTAAAATCTCTGACATAGTAAGGATTTTAGCAGCTGAAGTATGATAGCTCATATTTAATCAACTGATCCTTTCAAAGGGTTGTAGATATCCTCAACCCACAAGTGAATGGCTAATAACAATCCCCAACTTTTATCGAGTTTCGATTGTTTTGTTATTTTCCTGTTTCCTAAGTGAGAAACATATATCGATGCCACCCAATGCTTGTGTTTACCTTTACTTATTTTTGTGGTTTCGCTTTTTTCATACCATCTCTCCCGTCAGACTTTCTTTAAAAAAACATTTATCCATTTTTATTTCTTTCTTAGCATCATTTTCATAGATCTAATTACTTCGCATGAACTATATATTGATTTAATTTTGAAAAAATAGTTAATATCCTTAAATAAATATATAAATTGAAGTAGTATAAAGTTTTAATATTTTACAGTTTTGTTTAGGAAAAGATTATTAATATTACAAAATTGAGACTCTTTTAAAAAATAATTTAGTACCCCTACATAAGATGCGGTTCTATGCATTTTCTGTATAGTTATTTTCTAATTTTCACAAAGAAAATTTTTTTTTGTAGGGATCTTGTATTCTGTGCTGAGTCTACTATTTTCTTCATTGTATAACTAAACTCTGACTCTCTTTCCATTTATTTCATTATTTTATTACATGAAAACTTTTATTTCAATATTTTTCTTCTGGCTTTCACCATATTTTTAATTATTCTAACCCTAAATAGTAATAAAGTTGATAAAATTACACATATATAGAGACAGAAATGGTATATGTGTTTATAGACAAACATACATATAAAGGGAAAGAGAGAAAGTTAGAAAACTATAGTTAGAAGTATGCCAAAGCAAAATTTAACAAAAATAAAAGTAATAACCCTTCAAGGAAGATCAGGGGCCAGATGCAGTGGCTCACACCTGTAATCCTAGCTCTTTGGGAAGCCAAGGAAGGAGGATTGCCTGAGGCGGGGAATTCAAGACCAACCTGGCTAATATAGTGAGACCCCATCTCTTAAAAAAAAAAAAAAAAAATTAATTATTTCCTTTAAAAAAATAAAAAAAAAATAAGCTGAATATTTTATCTTACATAAAGTTGGAAATACTTTAAAAATGCTAAATTTTGGAGGTACAATATAATTAGTAAGTGAAAAACAAAAAATTCTGCTGTTGTAGAATCAGAAGTGAATATTCTACAGACACATTCCATAGGTTTAGTTGGAGATGATTTTTTTTTTTTTGCCTCAAGAAAAATTGTGAGGTTAAGTCTATTTTAACTAATGAATATTTCAAATATCTTTTCTTTATTATCTATTGTGCTGTAACACATTTTCACAAACTTAGTGGCTTAAAACAATGCATATTTATTATCTCACAGTTTATGTGGGTAGAGTCTGGGCATGGCTGGGCTGTGCCTTCCTCTGGTCTCTCTCAAGACTGCAATGAAGGTGTCAGCCAAAACTGGGGTTTTATCTGAAGACTCAGTTGGAAAGGACTCACTTTCAAACTAACTTCCATGGCTGTTGGGAGGATTCAGTTTCCTTTGGGTTTCCGGACTCAGGTTCTTTTCCTGGGGGCCCACCCTCAGTTTCTTGCCACGTGGATCTCTCTACCATGAAAACAGCGAAAGAAAGTATCTACTAGCAAAATGGGTTAAAAACTCTTTTAACCAGTTCACAGAAGTAGGATCCTATTATGTCTGCTCTGTTATTTTGCCTAGCAATAAGTTTCTAGGCCTACCCATACTCAAAGGATAGATGTTACAAAACGATCTATCAGGAGGAGGGGATCTTTGAGGGCCATCTTGGAATTGGCTACTATAATTCCTTTTCCCTTCTCTTTCTCCCTCTCCAAATAGGCTCTTTCAACAATGTGGATATATGGATTATCTTTTTTTGAGTTTTTTTTTTTTTTTTTTTTTTCTGATGGAGTCTCGCTTTGTCGCCCAGGCTGGAGTGTGGTGGCCGGATCTCGGCTCACTGCAAGCTCCGCCTCCCGGGTTCCTGCCATTCTCCTGCCTAGTAGCTGGGACTACAGGCACCCACCACCTCGCCCAGCTAATTTTTTTTGTATTTTTACTAGAAACGAGGTTTCACTTTGTTAGCCACGATGGTCTTGATCTCCTGACCCCGCAATCTGCCCGCCTCGGCCTCCCAAAGTGCTGGGATTACAAGCGTGAGCCACCGCACCCGGTTTTGAGACGGTTGTTAAACCGAGGTAACATGTAAAATGCTTGGTGAAGGTAGCCAAAATATTTTAAAAATTCAAAATAATTACTAACTTGTTTGAAAATAAACCATTTTAAGAAAGCTACATAACTTCAGCTATAGAGTGACGTTTCCTACTTTTGAAAATATACGTGTGCATTTTATTGATTTTATTTAATAGATATCTTTCTATTACACAGAGCAAATGATTTAATCTATACATTAATGTACATTTAACCTGAAAATATTTTGTAGCTAATGTTTTAGATTCTTTTTGGTTTGTTTTAAATTGTGTTTGGGATTTCTTTTAGCCCCTAAACACTAAATTGTTTGAATGAATAGAGAAATAAAATAGAACCCATTCATCAAAATGAACACTAATGCAAATAGCATATATTAAAATGTAAAACGATGGATTAAAATTCATATGGCTTTTCTGGTTCCTGGTGAAAATAGAGCATAAAGAAATCAACTGGTCATCCTCTTCTAGTTTCATTAATTCTTATTTTTAATAACCATTTGTTTGTTTAAGACTGTGAATATTGATAACAATGGAAAACAATGACTTTTAATCTATTAGGTTCAGAATACCCTTCACACTGTTTTTTAACTATTTTATAAGAAAATTTTATTTATTATAAAAGATAATCAATAATTTAATAATTTAATTTAAATTTTACTGCTGTCCATTTATTAGTTCTATATGCAGCATAAAAGTCATGCAGTACAGTTCTGGAAAAAAGAAACTCTTTGATTTTTTTTTTAATTCATATCATTCTAGGTGATATAGAGCAGAGCTTTAAAACGCTTGTAAACACTGTAAATGCAGGAAACTAGATAATTTTTCTTGGGAACAAATTTTGAAGGTAGATGAAACTTAAATAATCTAATTATAAATAAGCAATGACCATACTTTTCTTACCTTTACATTTTAAGTCTGGAAATACATAATACCAATCCATTTGGCATAAAGCTAAAATACCACTTTTAATGTGTTAAATATTTTGAAATCTTCTCTTAAAATTCTTAAGTGATGGAACAGGCTCTGATTCTCTAAATATGTATAATAATACTCTACTTAATTAAATTTAGAAAACAAAATTTTAAGAAAAAAAAATTTATAAATAGTCTGTTCAAAATTTTAGTTGGCTGACACATTTAATTTTCACAGCTGTTTTTTTTTTTTGTCCAGTTTAGTTCATTTTTCTTGTCAGAACTGGATAAAGACCTAATAGACCAAATTTATTCCCAATGGTATAAGAAGAAGGAAAAAGGCTAAACCCTTTATTATAGAACAAAACAGTTTTATTGGATAAAAGTAGAGATACAAAATATAGATAACAGATGACATTTAAGGTTGTTGCTTTTCAATGTTAATCAGATTTGAGATATCTTTGACTCTGGTTGTAAATAAGCATCATTTTTCTCGTACGTATTAACTATATGATGAAGTATGCGTTGTCTGTAGAGTATGCCTATTAATATAAAATATGCTGTACAACAAATTAAATACTTGCTCTCTCCTTTTATTATCTTCTCCATGCCTTTCCTATGCCAGTTTTGCTTCTTGAAAAGATAAAAATGGCAATCTTTGTCTCCTGTGGAAGTGCCAATAAGTAACCAACATTTGGTCAGGTAAAGAGCATAGGCTTTGGATTCGGACAGCTGTTTCACCGGCTTTCAAGGGCATCTTTGGCAGGATATTTGACCTCTGGGGATCTGTTTCCTTATCTGTAAAACAGGGACATCAGAATTATCAAATTCATAAGATTGTTGTAAGGCTTAAATGACTAAATATCTGTAGAACATATGGAACAATGGCTGGAATAATTATGAATATCATATAAACGTTGGTATTAATTTTACCTGATTCTTGAATGTTTGCGTATTCTTGAGATTCACTGTGTGTTTATTCTTCAGTCGTTGCTTTACAACCTTTTTCTTAACATCTAGAGTATATCTGTCTAACTTCTGTTACTATTGAAATCCATGACTTCTAAAATGTGTAGTCATTTTTGTTTTTTCTCCCTGTGAACTGGACCCTAGCGTCTATCCAACTCACATTAGGATCTGACATGTTACAGGCCGTGAGGTATTTCTGTGGCTTACCTAACTAATGATCAACAGTCCTCATTCAACATCAGGGCATCTTTTACCCTACTAAGTTCTAAAAGAATGTTCTATGGAAAGAAGAGAATGCTTTTGGATTCAATGAGAATTCATTGGGGATATTGTGTATCGAAGATAACTATGCAATTCACTTGCATGGGTCCTTGAAACCTTTGAGAAGAATGTGCACCTACTCTCACTCAGCTTACTGCAGTCTATAGTGATGAGACTGGGTTGAAAATTATGCCTATACCATGTCCTATATCTCAGTTCCACACATGATTGGCATTAAAAAAATGAATATTGCCAGTATTGTTTTAGTTTCTACTGGATATCTGCATTCAAAGGTTCTTGCCACAGGGTCTTCAATAACCAGTAATTCTAGTGCCTTTTTGAATATTTATTTTCGTCTTTAAAATATTACTTTTCTTTATCTCAGGATATTTCCTCACAGTTATCTATATCATATCATGCTAATTAAAGCCTGACACCATGAATATCAAAATGTCTTTTAAATATGTTTGTAAGCAACCAAATCTTACACAAAATATGTTAGAATGCTCTATTTTCTGAGCCTATAATAATTTTGTTTTTGTTCTTTTTTACTCCAATCATAGCCCTTTTCCCTTATTCATTGTTATATCCCCAGCATCCCACACTGGTGATCAGTAACATATATTGAATTTTAATGAATATATTTGCTGATGATGTGAGAAATCTTTTAAAATATGAAGCTGATTCTGTTATTCTACTGAGTAAAATATTAAAACAACTTAATCACTCAGTATAACCTACAAATTCATTATCATGCAAGAAAAGACTCTTCAAGAGTTGGCCCTGCTTCTTGCTTCAAGCTCCCCGATGATTTCCTTCTCGAAGTGTTGACAACCCACCTTACTTCTCCACCTGAATGAATACATTTGGTTTTCAAGACTCAGTCTAAATATTTATCTTTTTAATTCATCCAAGAGCTAATTATTTTCTCCCCAGTGCTGGAAGTATATTCTGTAGCTAAGCCTATCATAGTCAAGATTCTCTATACTGCAATTATACTATTATATTTCTGTATTTCCTTGGAGGTGATTGTTCAGGGAAGAGATTATATTTTCTTAAATTTTGTGTGATGAGAACATAATCAGTGCACAATGAATGTTATAAGAATGATTTAAGAATTAATAAATAAAGTGATACCTTACTAAGGTTCAACATCCCTAAAATAGTATTTTGGGTCTGAAATTCCTGGTGATTACATATAAAGGAAAAGGTAAATTTTGAGGATTTCAAGGGGAACAATAATTCAATAAAAATGCATTATTAATCTCCCTGTAAACTGAAAATATGAATTATTACACTATACCTTTCCCTTTCAGATACTGAGCAAAGTGATGCAATAAAACATGATTCCTATTAAGTACATAACCAAAATGCTACTTTTAATAAAAATTATTATTTGCCCATAGACAAGATACACATTTTTGAAAGCTGCAAAGAACAGAAAGGTAATTCTACATTGCTTTAAATAATAAAGAAATTATAGTGCAACCTTTAGTATTAGCTTTTCAACTAGTATCATTTTAGCATTTGTATCTATGTTGGATCTGTAACAGTTGAATATTAACAGTTATATTTAAACTTAAATTTCAAAAACCCAGAAGAGTTACTTTTGTATGTAACTTGTGAATTTAATCAGTTGCTTTTTGTTCTTAATGTTTTCAAATGTGAAATGTGACTTTTCAGTAAATGGAAACATTGCATTTACTTTTAAAATATTTAATAAAATCAATTATTTTCTTGAAATAAAAATTGAATCCCTATTCAAAATAGGTCATAGATCTAAATGCAAAATCCAAAAACTATAAAAATCCTAGAAAAGAACATAGGAGAAAACCTAGAACTTGGGTATGGCACTTTTTTTTGTTTGTTTCTTTTTTCCTTTGAGACTAAGTCTTGCTCCTTTGCCCAGGCTGGAGGGCAGTGGCCCGATCTTGGCTCACTGAAAGCTCCACCTCCTGGGTTCACACCATTCCCCTGCCTCAGCCTCCCAAGTAGCTGGGACTATAGGCAGCATCACCCCACGCCCAGCTAATTTTTGCATTTTTAGTAGAGACTGAGGTCAGGAGATCGAGACCATCCTGGCTGACACAGTGAAACCCTGTCTCTACTAAAAATACAAAAAAAAAAAAAAAAAAAAAAAAAAAAATTATCCAGGCACTAGGCACTAACTTATTTAGACAGAACACCAAAGTTGCACTGACTTATTTAGGCAGAACACCAAAGTCATGTTCCATGGAAGAAATAATTAATAACCTGAATTTCACCAAAATTAAAAACTTTTACTCTGTGAAAAATATCAAAAAATGAGACGTCAAGCCACAGACTGGGAAAAAATATTTGCAAAACACACATATGCTAAAGGACTTCTATGCAAAATATAAAAATGTCTCTTAAAACTCAAAAACCGAAGTGGGTGGATCACGAGGTCAAGAGACTGAGACCATCCTGGCCAATATGGTGAAACCCGGTCTCTACTAAAAATACAAAAAATTAGCCGAGCGAGGTGGCGGGCACCTGTAGTCCCAGCTACTCAGGAGGCTGAGGCAGGAGAATGGTGTGAACCGGAAGGCGGATCTTGCAGTGAGCTGAGATCGCGCCTCAGCCTGGCAACAGAGTGAGACTATGTCTCAAAAAAAAGTTTTAGAGCAGGAAGAAAAGGAAGTAAAGTGCACTTGGAAGAGGGCCAAGCTGGCAACTTGAGAAATTCAAGTGCACAGTTTGACCTTTGATTTGGGGTTTTATACATTGCCATTCTTCATGAGCAGTGGCCTGCTAGTACTTGAGAGGGGTCTCATGCAGAGAATCACTGTGTGTTTACTGGAGTTCTGCGCATGCTAACTTGAGGCATTTTTCCCTTACCAGTTGAGTGTTTCTAGAAGAACATCCTATACCAGCTAAACTCGACGATTTTGTTTCTTAGTGCATACTCATAAGCCCACTCACCCAACTCAGGAGATCTTGTTGGGAAGATGCTGCTCACTAGTGTCAGGTGTTTCTATTAGGAGACTCCCTGGTGCCAGTTGTGACCAATTATTATTTTAGTGAGAAAGCGTAACAACCGCCTGACCATCACCTGATGATCTCCTGACACTTCTGGTTGGCCAGAGTTGTGGGGTTGGGGGGGTGTGCTCTAATGACATTTTTCACAGAAATAGAAAAAAAAAAAAAAAGTAAAATTAGTATAGAAGCACAAAAGGTGACAGTCAAAGTGAGAGTACCGAGAAAATAAACTGGGCTAAGCACAGTCTCTTCAGCGAATGGTGCTAAGAAAAGTAGATATCCATATGCAGAAAAATTAAACTAGATCCCTGCATTGTCACCCTATATGAAGATTAAAATAGATAAAAGGCCCTAAATGTAAGACCCAAAACTATAAAACTAGTAGAAGAAAATACACTTGAAATGCTTTAGGATCTTAGTCTGAAAAAAGATTTGATGGATAAGACCTCAAAGCACAGGCAACAAAAGCAAAAATAAATAAATGGAATTATATCTAACTAAAATACTACATAACAAAGGAAACAATCAATAGAATGAAATAACAATTATCTGATGAGGATTAATATCCAGAATATACAAAGAACTCAGAAAGCTCAAAAGCAAAAAATAAAAACAAACAATACAATTAAAAATGTGTGAATTATCTGAATATACATTTGTTAAGAGATACAAATGGCCAACAAATATATGCAAAAAAGTTCAACAACACCAATCATCAGGGAAATGTAAATCAAAACCACAATGAGGTATCATCTCACCCTTATTAGAATAGCATTTATCAAAAAGACAAAAAATAACAAACGCTGGTGATGATGTGGAGAAAAGGAAACTCATATACCCTGTTGATGGGAATGTAAACTACTACAGCCACTGTGGAGAACAGCATGAAAGTTCCGCAGAAAAAAACTATAAACATTGTTACCATTTGATCTAGCAATGCCACTACTGGGCATTTATTCAAAGGAAAGTAATCAGTATATCTTAAAGACATCTACAGCTCTATGTTTGTTATAGTATTATTCGCAACAACCAATATGTGTTCATTGTTGGACAACTTATGTGTTGGACAACCTAGGTGTACAAGAATGGATGAATGAATAAGGAAAATGGAGGGTATAGACACAACAGAATACTATTCAGATTAAAATAAAAAAAGTGAAATAATCATTCTCCGTTGCACGAATGGAACTGAAGACATTATGTTAAGTGAAATAAGCCTGGAACACAAAATTAAATACCACCTGTTCTCATTCACATTCATATATGGAATCAAAAAAACATACAACAACAAAACACTTGATCTCCTAGAAGTAAAAAGTAGAACAGAAGATACTAGAGATTGGGAAGGGCAGGGGAGAGGGGAGCATTGGGAAATATCTGTTAAAGGATACACAAGATATTTGTTGCGGCTAGATAGGAGGAATAAGTGCCAGTGTCTTGTAGCTCTGTAGATGACTATAGTTATCAATAATACATAGTTTCAAATAGCTAGAAGTAGGATATTGAATGCTCCCAACATGAAGAAGTGGTAAATATTTGAGATGGATATGCTAATTATTCTGATCTGA